AGAGGCAGAGATAGAGATAGAGTCAGCAAGTGGGTGTAATAGGTAGAAAGAGAATGAGGGGTAGATGGAGAGAGAATGAGTGGGAGACAAGAGAGGAAAAGAGGAAGAGAGTCAGTAGAAAAATAGAGAGAATGAGGGAAAGATAGATTAAAATAATTATGTTTAGTGGGATAGAGATTGAATAATTATGTTTAATATAAATAAATAATTATAGAGTATTTCAGCTGGTTTGTATCACAAAATATAATTTTTAAGAAATTTTTTTAAAATTTTATTTAGTTCAAATTTTTTGAATTTCTTTTTTCAAATCACTCTCTCTCATACATATCAATCAATTACTTTTTCTCTCACACACATTTACACACATGTACTTAACTACAACAAAATATCAAGGGTGTGTTTGGTTTGTGTTTGTAGAGTAGTTTTTGAGATAAAAAGTACGAAAACTTGTTTGGTTTGCCTTTTTCAGAAATAGTTTTGGAAAATTGTTTTGAGGAGAGAGATTCAAAAAAAGTGATTGATTTGATGTGCATGAGAGAGTGTGATTTTAGAAAGTAGGTAACCAAGCAAAATTTTGAGATTTTTTTTTGGAAAAATTTGTTTGGTTTGATTACTGTTGAAATTTTGTTTGTAGAAAATTTTTCCCCAATTTTTTTTTTGAAAAACAAACCAAACAAGGCCCAAATCATTACAAACTCCCAAGCTCCAAAAACTATTTTCAAAATATATAACCAAACAAACTAAAAAAAATTTAAATTCTCTCCCTAAAACTTTTTTTGAAAATTTATCTCAAAACACAAACCAAAAACACCATTTTTTTTTTCAACATATTTTTTTTATTTATATTAAAAACACGCATAGTCTCTAATTATTGAAGTATTTTATATCTAATCAAGTTTTTAACTAATTTTTTACTCAAATTTAAATGAAAAGAAAAGGTGAAGATTACTATTCATTATAAAATAAAACTCTCAAAATATAATTTATATTTACAAAAATAATTGTAGTATTTTTTTATATGATTTATATATAATAATGTTTTAATTATAATTATAGTACTATTTTGTTATACTACATTAAAATTTCATCACATATGATAAAAAAAAATTTAAATGAAATCCCTGTCTCAAGTTAAATTATTTTTATCATTTGTACATAAATTATCATATATAACGTCAAAATTGCGGGGTCAAATGATTATTGTTGTCCACTAGTGAATTATATGACTATCACTTTTATATTTGGTTAGCCAAATAGTCCAACATCTTGAATTTACTATCATATTCCAATTTTGTACAAAAAATATATTTTTTATTCCAAACATAAAACAAAATAAAAATAAAATAAATAATATGGTTGCACAACCTTCATAAATACAATGACAATAATCACTTTGTTTGATTTCCATTTTCAAAATTCAATTTTCAAAAATTTTACTCTTTTGTTTTTTATATATTTTTTATTTTTACTGAATTTTTTTAATATTTTAAGTAGTTTTTTTTTTAATTTTTAGATAGATCTAACATAAATACACTTAAATTTTGTTTGGTTCAAATTTTTTGAATTTTTTCCCCAAAATCACTATATAACCAAACAATTGCACCTAAGCAATCCAAATTTAGTGGATATTTGGGAGTAATTTTTTATATGCAAATGAATTTTTTTTAAAGATTTTTCAAAAAATCAACACTTTTATATTCTTCTCAACTAGACAAATTAAAATATATATATATATATATATATATATATATATACATTTGAAAAAGGTCCAAAAAAGACAAATAAAAAATCAGAACCGTTGTCTTACCACCGCCAACACCACTACTCTACCACCACCAACACTATCATTACCACCACAACCACTATCCTTCCACCTCAACCACCACCATTCTATCTCCACTACACCACCTTTGCACCAACAACACTATTGTTACCACTACAACCGCTATCTCTCCACCTCCGCCACCACCATTCTACCTCCACTACACCACCCTTGCACCAATAACACTATTATTACCACTACAACTGCTATCCCTTCACCTCCACCTCCACCACCACCACTCTACCTCCACTACACCACCTTTTCACCAACAACACTATTGTTACCACTAAAACCGCTATCCCTCTGCCCCCGCCTCCACCTCCACCTCCATGTCCACCCCCACCTTCACCACCACCATTCTACCTATACTACACACTATGCTAAAATTTGGCTTTAGCGGCAGTTTTTTACCGCTGTTAAAGGATGTAAAACCGCTGTTAAAACCTTTAACAGTGGTAATTTAGGACCATCGTTTATACTCATGTCAAAAAAAGTACAACCGTCGTAAAAGGATAAATTACCGTTGTTAAAAGTCAATAAAAAACGGCAGTTCTTTACCGTCGTAAATAGGTTCAAATTTTTAAAAAAGTAATTCTCTCTTCTTGCACCCCCTAGGTCTCGAACCCTTGACCTCTAATCCACGCACGCCAACCACTCCACCACAGCCACTTTATATGAAATATATTCCCTAAATAAATATTTAAACATTACTTTTTCTTTATTGTAGATGGTCATGTTCAACCTCTGGCTGCGAATGGTCACCACTCGCTGGAGTTCCACCGGCAAAGACCGTCGTCATTAACGGCGGTAATGAGAGGGCTTTAGTGGCGGTTTCGTTACCGCCGTTAAAAGAGGGCTTTAGTGGCAGTTTTTTTAACGGCGGTTTCATTATCGTCGTTAAAGATACTTTAGCGGCAATTTTTTTAACGGAAGTAACGAAACCGCTGTTAAAGATACATTAACGGCAGTATTTTTAATGGCGGTAACGAAACCGCCGTTAATAGTATCTTTAACGACGATAACGAAAACTGCCGTTAAAAAAACCGCCGTTAATGCCCTGTTTTGGCGTAGTGACACCACCTTTCCACCAATAACACTATTGTTACCACTACAACCGCTATCCCTTCGCCTCCACCTCCACCACCACCAGTCTACCTCCACTACACCACCCTTCCACCAACAACACTAACGATACCGCTACAACTGCTATCCCTCCGTCTCCACTCCCACCACTACCACTTTACCTCCACTACACCACCTTTCTACCAACAACACTATCATTACCACAACCGCTATCCCTCCACCTCCACCTCCACCCCCACCCCCACCACCATCACTCTACCTCCACTACACCACCATTCCACCATCAACACTATCATTACCACAACCGCTATCCCACCACCACTACTACCACTCTACTTGCACTACCACCAGTGACCACCAACAGCACCATCATTATCACCATAATTGTTATCCTTTCATCTTTACTACCACCACTGTGGCCTTTACTATGAACACATCTCTACAACAATATAAAAATTAAAAAAAAAATTAAAACAGTATAATATTGTTGAAATTATTAAAATAATTAGTGTGTTTAGTTTCAGTTTTCTGAATTCAATTTTCTAAAAATTGAGTTTTTTATTTTTTGTGTGTTTTTTTTTAGTGAATATTTTTAAATTTTAACCAATTTTTTTACTTTTTTAGATACACCTTACTTAGATGTATCTAAATAGTAAAATATTTATAAAAAAATATTTTAAAAAATTAATAAATACAGAAAAAATATTTTTATTTTTTGTTTTTTTTGTTTTTATTTTTTATTTTTTTGGTATTTAGTGTATTTTTTTTTAAAAAAAAAATCACAAATATTATACTTTTTAAGTGTATTTATGTTAGGCATGTCTAAAAAATTTTACAAAAAAATTACTTAAAATATTAAAAAAATCATTAAAAATCAAAACCAAACAAACTGAATAATTTTTGAATTTTATCTTATTGTATATGTCAAAAAAAAAAAAGTGTAAGCATTAGAAATATTTCACATCACCAATAATCACGTGCCAAGATAAACATGAAACCAAACTATTTTTCAATAACCAAACCAAACTCATTTTTTTAAAGCAAACTAATTTTTTTTGGGGCTAATGATTACCAAACTAATAAAATAAAACTTTTGATCTTCTTCTACTCAATATATCCACCATACCGAGATGACAAGCATGCACTAGCATTTAATGCATGACAAGCTATCAGCTACACAACGAGGAGACCTTTGGTATTTTTTTTATTATTATTTTGGTAGATGGTGTATGTTTTTATTCTCAATAATCAATAGGTGTATCTCAAAAAAAATATTTCTGATCCTTACTCCGGCCAACTCTTACTCCCGCCAACTCTATATAACCATCAACATCCATCTCATTCTTCAAAGTGGAGTTAAAGTTGTATATATAGGCAAATATATAACCAGAGCTTCTAAAGAGTTCAAGCAAGCTGATTTTGGCTTTTAAGGCAAGCACCGTTTTATATACATTCATAATTTTCTCTATTGGTTTCCATTTCTATTTATTTTCTATTAGTTATTTTTTCTAATTTGTTGTATACTTGAATGATTTCACACTACATATTTTGAATGGATTTAAGCCAAAACATTAACTCTCAAGAAGTTGTGGAAGATGAGGATGTTGAAGAGCCAACTGCTACTCCACTTTGGAAATATATCACAAAAATTTATGATGAATCACCCAATTCCAAAGGTGGAGGTGGCTCTGCAAAATTTATATGCAATTTTGGTTGCAAATTGAAGGCTTATACTAGTTCTTATTCCCGAGTCCGTGCACACTTAATAGGCAAATTACCAGGCCACCGAGCTCAAGGTATACAACTATGTCCAAAGGTTAACAAGACTGAGAGGGAGTTTCTAAAACAAGAGAAGCTAGGTGCACAACGAATGTTTCTGGGAAATGCCAAGACCAGAAAATTTCCTAGGTCCACTTCAACATCACAAATTCAATCTCAAACTGTTAGGTCCTCTGATGTGCCACACTGAGTCAAAGCTTCAATTGACAACATGTTTCATGTAAGAAACAGAGAAAAAGTGGACCAAACGATTGCTAGGTGTCTTTATAGCAATGGCATTGCTTTTAATGTTATGAGGTCTCCATGGTGGGCATATATGGTTACTGCCATTAATAATGCTCCAAAAGGGTACAAGTCTCCTAATTATGAGAAGGTGAGGACCAACTTGTTGGACATAGAACAAAGCAAGGTTCAACAATCCCTCAACCCTTTAATGCAAGATTGGAGCATACATGGAGTTTCCATTGTTTCTGATGGTTGGTCAAATTTGAAGAATCAAACTTTGATTAACATCATGGCTGTTTCTGGTGGTAAGGCCATTTTTATTAATGGACATGATGTTTCTTCAAAGGAGAAAAATGCAACAAATATTGCTGATTTGTTCTTTAAAGCAATTGAATTTGTTGGACCCTCCAATGTGGTCCAAGTAGTTACTGACAATGCCACTAATTGCAAGGCAGCTAGAGCAATAATTCAGCACAAGTATTCCCATATATTTTGGTCAGGTTGCTTAGCTCATACTTTGAATCTCTTGATGAAAGACATAGTCAAATGTGAGGATCCAACTTTGTTATTTGTTGATGAATCATATAAGAGGGGTAAAGAAGTGGTAAAATACATAAAAAAACCATAGCTCTTGTCAATACTTGTTCAAAACATTTTCAGGTCTGGATCTTCTCAAAGCAAAGAAGACTAGGTTTGGGCATCATTTCATTGTTTTACAATGTCTTGTTAAAGTCAGACCTGCTTTGTTGTCCATGGCTCTAAGCAAACAATGGGAAAATTTCAGAAAAAAGACATCATCTCCTCATCAGCATGGCATTGTCCACCAAACCATTATGGATGATGATTTTTGGAGAAAATCAAAAACAATCATCACCATCACAAAACACATTTATAAGATGCTTAGATTTTCAAATTCTGATAAGGCTGTGATTTGAGAGGTTTATGAGTTGATGGATATTATGTTAGGGAACATTAAGGATACGTTTCAAATGATCCTATTGTTTATGATTTGATACATCAATTTGTGGTGGAAAGATGGGATAAGATGAACATGCCTTTGCATTGTCTAGCCTATATTCTTGTTCCTAAGTACTACACAAATTCTTGGTTGTCAAAATCTGCCCCAGGTGGTGTGAGAAGAAAAAAACCTTATTTTGATGTTGAGGTGCAAAAGGGGTATCTTGAGGCAATTGAAAAAATGATTTGTGATCAAATTGAAGCTGCTGTTATAAGAAAACAAATTAGTGATTTTGTTAGTTGCAAAGGAGTTTTTTCACAACCTCAAGCAGTAAATGATAGAGCAACCATGGATGCATTATCATGGTGGCATTTGTATGGTGGGGCAGCACCTGAATTATACTCTTTAGCATTGAAAGTGTTGTCTCAAAGTGTAAATACTTCTTGTGCAGAAAGGTGTTATAGTACCTATTCCTACATTCATAATGTGAAAAGGAATAGGTTGAGTGTTGATCGAGCTGAAAAGTTGGTTTTTTGTGCACTATAATCATAGCCTCTTGTCAAGGTATAAGGAGGACTATGAAAAATTTAAAAATTGGGATGCACATCCAGAAGATGCCAACATTGAAGAGGACATTATGGCAATAGAAGAAAGAGATAATGTATCATTTTCAGACAGTGAAGATGATATTACTCTTGCAACTTCAGATGTTCAACCATGTCCAACTCCAACACCATTGCCTACATCTTCATCATTTCCACCTTCTACTTCTCAAGAGCATTCAATGGAACAAGTAGCTGCACAAAGGAGACTTGAAAAAACACGTGGCAAAAGATAGAAGAAGTGAAAAAAAAGGCAGAAGAAATGAAATATTTTGTTTTGTGGAGTTGTAATATTTTGTTTTTTACCTTAGTTTTTTACTTTCTTTTTGGTTGCTTACTTTTTGGAAATTATGAGAATTAGAGATCTCTTTTAGTTGTCAAGTCTTTTTGTTATTAGATGATTAAGGATTAATGATATTTTGTATTAGTGATGAATTTTCTAATGGGATTCCATTATATTTTTGTGTAGCAATGTAAGTCCTCAAATTTATTATATTTAAATAAAGCCACTCAAAAAAATAAATACATGCTAAAATTTTGAATTAATTTTTATTTATATATACATAATACACATATACATATATATATATATATATATATATAAAAGCTCCCCGAGGCGCTCCCAACCTAAGAAACTTCTATCAGCTCACGCTTCCCTGCTCCCACTCCTGCCTCCGCCCCCATTCGTGCAACTAAGAGTAGAACACTGGAAAACTATTATAAGGGTTTTTATAGTGATCCCGATTTTTCACCCGTCATTTAGTGTATTCCGGACTTGGGTTCCGTGGTTGTATGTCGTTGTTTATACCTCATTTCCATCATTTATTCTTTGTATTTGAGTTGTGGGATATGTTGGGCAAGTTTGGAACATGTTGGTTGTGTGTTGGAACAAAAGGTTGCTGCCCAGAATTTGGATTCTTCGTTCGAGCGAGCTTTGTGTGATGTGTCTCTTCGCTCGAGCAAGTACTCTTGAGCTCGAGCGTGCGTCTGCGTTTCTGTAAGACCTAAAGGTTAGTATTCTTCGCTCGAGCGAGACCCGTGTTATGTCTTCCTTCACTCGAGCGTGCTTCTGCGTTGCAGACCTGAAGCTTTGCATTGTTCGCTCGAGCAACGCTTCTTGTGCTCGAGCGAGGTTCTTTTGTGTTTGGTCGCTCGAGCGACAACTCCTTCGCTTAAGCGAGCCCCGTATATATCAGATCGCAGTAGCGTGATTTTACATCACTTTCTCATCTCATTTTCACCCCAAACCCTAAATCCAGCTGTCTCTTTCTCTACACTCCCTTTCTCTCTACAAATGCACCTTGTTCTTGAGGTTTTCTACATTTTTCCCTTTGTTAAAAAGGTAGAGCATTGTGTGGGCTTCATTTTGATCCGAAAAAGTATGGATTTGGAGCATCTTGAGTTTCCTTCTTCATCTCTTTTGAGCTTCTCCATTTGAGGTAGGGATAATTTACTCCTTAGTATGAGTTTTGACATAAATATTGGTCATTTTGTATAAATGGTGGGATTTGGGAGTTTTGGGTAAAGTTAGGGTTGATTCTGAAATTATGAAAGAGAAGTTTCCTAATGTTGGGTTCCATATGTATTTGGGTCCTTGAAAATGGGGTTATTTCTGTAGAATGGGTGAAATTTGGCCTTGGGAGCAATGTTTGAGAAAAATGAGAAAATGGCCTAATTTGAATTAAATAACTATTTTGTATGAATAGTGAAATAAATATGGAAATATGAAATTGATTTGAGAATCATGAAATTGGAGGAAATTGTGATTAAATGGTGTAGTTAGATTAATAAATCACTCACCTATGGAAAATGTGATAAATTATTTGTTGAGAAATTTATTTATCTGTTTAGATATATCTGTTTTGGGCTATCGGTGGATGATAGCCATGATTGTTGTAGAAACTGCATGATGATTAGGTAAATTGAAATTAATCAATTGGAATATGTCATTGAATATGACGGTTGGACGTAAACATTGTATATGTGATTGAATTGGTCATTGTATATGACAACGTGTTTAAATACATTGTATATGTATCTTTGTTTGGGAGGAGATAAGTGATGTACTCCATTGTTTGGGAGGAGATAGGGGATGGACTACATGGATAATTAAGTTGGCTGGAGTGTCCATGGTGAAAGTCCCGAATCTTATTTATATTTGGGTGCTGGTTCCCTCGGATGTAGTTCTGTAAAATGGCAAGATATGGAAGTGTGTGAATGATGTCTATGATTGAAGTATTGATAATTGAGTTGTAGTCTCATTTTGAATTGTTTATATGATAATGAACTATGTTAATGAATTGACTTGGGTAAATGATTAAAAGTGAATTGAACTATGTGTGCCAATGCCGATTGATTATGGTAAGGATGTAAGATGGTTTATAAGTGTTAAACATTTATCGAATGCTAATGTTTTAGTTAATTCTCATATACTGTTTAGCATATCTCTACTGGGTTTTGGCTCACCTTACTTGGGACACCATTTTTCAGGTACAGGGGATATGCCGCCTCCAAGGTCTTAGCTTGGGAGGTTTAGGAGTTGAAGACTTCGTTTTGTTATTTATATTTTGTGTTAAATGTAAATCCAAACCGAGGGCTTTTTATGTATAGAGTTAGAACTCTTCTTTTGTTTAACCAAGTTATTACTTCGAAATATGTAAGCTCGTAGGGTATTTACTTTGTTGATAACATGTAATATTTTTGTAAAGAAGACTCTGATGAATGAAAATGTATTCTTTTCTTTATGTTCATGAAACTTGTGAATGAATGATTTATGTCTTAAATTGAGGGCGTTACAGAAACAGTCATGATAAAAATCAAATGGCAACTCATAGTTCTCAACCCAACCCCCCTCATCGCACGTAAATGGAATTCAACAAAATGATAGTTTAATACTACAAAAAAATCAAACGATAATAGTTTTGAACAAAAATAATGTAGTAAATAGTCCAATTTTGTCACTCGATCGTTAATGCACCCCAACTCACCGTAAATGGATTTGCACAAAACGAAGTAATACACAGTTAAATTCCTTTGCAATGTGATTTTCGTTGCCCCAGAATGTTTGGCATCATAAACCAACACCATAGCAAAATGTATTAAGTGGGACCTATATGGTAACACAACCCGGGTTGACAAAAATCATTACATGTGGTACCTATGTTATTTCCTTTTTGTGTTCTCATACCCAGCGTAACCAATGCCATATTGATTAGCTAAAGATGTAGATAATTTCATAAAATATTGCAAATCCGATAACAAAATGTGATTTATGTAGCAAAGTCTATTCAACGAACGCAGCAAAACATAATAAAAATTCAAAAATGGCATATTGTTTTACCAAACTGAATACACACGATAATGTTGCTTGTGAAATAATGTGAACGTGAATGGCATAGTAAAATAGGTGATGTTCGATGGTGGAAGCTGTAATCGTGTCGAAGTGCAACTGTTAATAACGTTAATATCGCATTGGTTTGACCATAAGAACACAACAACAACACTACAAACTCCATACATATAATTAAAAAAAACACATGATATAATGCTATCGTAATTAACACGACATTGTTTGAAAATGACACAACATATTCCCGCAGCGACCAAAATATAACATGATATCATCGCATTGTAACATTAACACCTTAACATACCATACTCCCTGGCATACCTCAGCAACAATGAAAGCATTTAATCAAACATAACACACCACCAATAGACAACTTATAAAATTCACCCTCAACAATGCTGCACAACAAGTCAACAACACAAACCCAATAGCAACAACGGAAAAGAATGGAACACCCACAACTCCTTCGACAAAACAAAACGATTTCTACATTAATAAAATACCACGTCAACTGGGTAACATCATACATCCCACAAATCACTCATACCTTTGTCAGCCATTGAATTAGAGAAGTTGAGAAAATACCCCTTAGAGTTGAACCTTTAATTTTGGCTCACCTTCTTCTCTCTGTCTCTCTTAATTAGGATGACTATAAAACTTAAAGTGATGGAAAAATACTCATGATATGAAAGGGGAGTCATCCATCCTTATATAGAGGAGAGAAGAGGGCCAGATAAACTCTATCAGAAGAATTCCTAATCCATCAAGGTTTCCTTCTTATCTTAGAAGAGTGATTATATTAAAATTCTATTTACTGAACTTGATCTCAAATATTGGCTTTATCTATTTGTGGAGTCCAAATAAATTAAAACATGTGGAAAATATGTAGGCTATTGGGCCACACTAGAAAAATAAATCCAACATTATAATGTGGATTTTAAGCTTATATTTTTATGAAAAACTTACACCTCCACTGTTTAACTGTCCACGTTTTGGACCCTCACCTCTTATTTCTCCATACCTACAACTTCTCTCATTTAACTGCCCAATTATATATATATATTTTTTAAAAAAAAGATACTTCATCCCTACACCTATTCTATTCCCTTACTTTCATTTTATTGTTCCAGAAAGTTGTCAAAAATTTTCCTCCCATTGACAGGTTTGCACATTCCTGTTGTCTTTGTTTTACTAAAGTTGCTTACTATAATTTTTTTAATCAAACTATTGTTGTTTTTATGTTTAACCTCAATCATTTTGTTAATTTTGAAAGCGACTGTTCCTCAAGTAAAAATATAAAAATAAGCATTATTAGATATGTTTTTTCATACAATTTATTTCTATGTTATTGGTATGTAAAGTACCGATTGAGTATTGTAAAGCTTTTTTTTCTTCTTCCAATTCTTTCTAAATTTCTTTTTCTTTCTTTTTTTTAAAATGTTTTCAACCATATAAAATGTCCTAGTAGGACAATTGTCTCTAAAATAAATTCAAAAACTCTCTTCCCTTATTATATATATATATATATGAATTAAATATATGTTAAATTTTTTCTTAATTTTATTTTATCTTTTTTCAAATCCCTATTGAAATCTAATAATCCAAGCACTGCATAAATAGAACTCAAACGTATGTTCTTGAGAGCTGCATGCGACCTTTACAAATTGTCTCCTTGTGATTGTAAATTGCAGACCTCAACATGTGTGGTATAAGGACATTTCAATGTCAAATGGTGACACTTTTGATAAATCATTGTCAAATGGTGACACATTTGATAATTGGCACTGGTTTTTCAAGAGTAGTTTTCTAACCAACACATCCTTCCAATGATACTTTATAAATTGTTTTTTTTTTTTGAAATCATTTTCAAATACTCTAATCAAATAATTAAAGGTTTGTTGAAGTAGAGTATGAGATACTACCAATAAGTGAAAGTTCCTGTAATGCAATATAAATTTTTTTATTTTTTACTTTTCTTTTGCAATAGTGGAGATTAAAGAAAAATGCTATAGATCTTAAATAATTTATTAAATTTTTTAACAAACTTGTAATATGAGGGTAAGATACACACAAACCCACGTGTGTGTAAGACTTATACCCATATAAAATATTTAATAAATTATTTGAGATCCCTACATTACTAAGAGATTAAATGATTGAATTAATAGAAGAGAGAGTCTACCTAATTCATTTACCATTTATTATTAGAACTGAGCTTCTCTCCCGTGTTTTGTGGGCTCACTACAATCTCCACTTCAATGATCATATTTATTGATTTTATAGGTTTTTGATGCATGAATTATTCATAAAAAAAAAAAGATTGATCCTATAATTATAACTGTGTGTGTCAATTTCTGACCACACTGCCAGCTCAGTATTCAGTTGGAGAGCACTGGCAGAATAGATGACGCCTGATTGACCTGCAATAGAAAGAGGAGATTCCGGCGGTGGTTCGTCCACCGGGGGACACTCCGACGATCAAGTCGGTTATCTCTCAAAGATAGATCAAGTGCTTAACTCACTGTTCAGAATTAAAATTCGTACCTTAGACCCATGGGGGTGCCTCTCTTTTATAGTTAGCTCAATCTTAGTCCGAATAGAGGCCTAGCTTCAATGGACTTCTGTTTAGTGCTTATCTTGGACTCTCCCATAGATAAAGATAAACTCCCTAAGAGCTTTATCCTTATCCAGGCTAAAATCCTTCCTCATTCTAGGACTCTTGTCCCTTATCCGCTTATCCCGGACTTCGATATCTTCGGAGATAACCTCGGCCTATCCGAGATCACCTCGGCGTCACGACCAGGACATGTGGCACCTCGACTGACACGTCGGCGTCACCTTGGCCACGTGTTGGTACTCAGAAAATATATCCCCACAACTGCCCCTAGGTTCTATTACCTCGGCATCTTGAGGTGATGGAACCTAGATTGTTCATGACGACTTTCTTGCTGTATTATGAATTTATCGAGGTCATAATATGCCAGTTTCATATGACCAGGCCCTGCAGTCTGTCTTTTCAAGGCCTTTCAATCCAATAACCTAGTTTATTTGAGTTATTTAGCCGATATCTTCCTACCAGCCGAGGTCATTGTTTTATTTAGCCAAGAACTCCAAGAGTTCTATCACGCGCATGAGCTGTCACAAACAACATTCTAATTGTTTCTGCCATGCGTTTCTACCCCATTGGACCGTGTTTGGTACGCGCTATTCAAGTTATTTTGCGTCTGCGTGCGCCGTCTGACATATACGTCGTTCTAGACTCATTAATTTCTTCTTGCCACCTTTTCGCATTTTTAACAAAACTAGCACCCTCTCTCTTCGTCTTTTCACTTTACACTGCTGTCTTTGTGCAAAAAACTCTCTCTTCCTTTTACTCTGCTAAATCCTCCATTGTTGCTTTCGCGAAGCTTTTTGTAACCAATCTTACGCTCTCCTCTGTCAAGGCTCCTACTGCAATTCCTTGCTGCTGGCTACCGTCTAATCCCGGCAAACTCCACTTCAGCTTCATTTTTCTTGGGTGAGTTACTGTTCCTTTCTTGTTTCTCTTCAAAAGCTCTACTTTATTTATTTGCTGCCATTGTTGTTTTACTCAAGTTCTTGATCTATGAATCACGCATCTAGGCACGTTTATTCTATGATTTTGCTGTTGCCCAATTCGTGACCTGAATACATACAAACTGTTCACAAATTTGCTCACTTTTGCCACTGTTCTTGGCTTCACACCTGCGCAAACTTTTGTCTTGTGTTTCTTGATGATCCATCACTGTTCTTGACTCTGAATTACATTCTTGTTTTCTATTTTCTTTCTAGATTCGTGCCTTCAATCTTCATTTCCATAGATCTAGGTTTGGGATTTGCTTGTAGAACCCACAAATTTTAGGAAAAATTGAAACGATCCCCACAAATTCTTACCCCAACTCACATTTAGGTTTTAGCCGAGGTCTTTAAAAACTGTTACAAAACACTTTCTTCCGAAATCCTACACCTTTTCCTCAAGCCGACAACATGGGTATGTGGAAGCATAGGGTAGATACCCCAACCAAGTTAGAACACTTTAGGCAGGAGTTCGACATCCCAGCCGACGTTCATCTGAGGTTGGCTGGGAAGGATGACTCCATCATGCCCGAGGTGAACCTCATGTCTTTTCCAGTAGTGGCCTTTATCGAGTGTGGACTTAGGTTTCCACATGACAACTTTTTCGAGAAGTCCTTCATTACTATAAATTGAACCCAATGCAACTTGCCATCAATTCTTACCGAGTTATTAACGGTACAATAGCCTTAGCCAAACAAGAGAATGCTAGGGTTACTCTTGCCGATTTCCAGTACTATTATACTATGTGTCGCCTGAAATCGGAAAAAGGCCACATCTATTACCTCAAGCCGAGGTCCACTGAGTACAAGCTCATTGCCGACCTCCCAGACTCAAACAAAGGTACTGGAGACGATTACTTCATCGTCTCGGGCAATTGGGAGTTTCAGCCCAACGATGACCTCCACCTTTATTCCTTAAGCCGAACAGTTTTTGGGGAAGGAGATGGTAAGGGCCAAGTGTTACTTTTCTTACTCTCTTTTCTAAAGTTCTCAATACTTTGTTCTAATGTCTATGCTCTTCTTTTTGCAGTTCTTCCTCATCCACCAAAGGGCTTTCGCCAGTCTTTCTTCCCCAGCAAGGACTTGAAGAAGCTATTGGATTTGCCAGTCCACAAGCGTAGAGCTCCCCTGCTGTTCAATTTCATTCCTACCTACAAGTCGGTTCTTCCCGACATTCCAAAGAAGAAAAAGAAGAAGAGTCAATCTCCTCCGTCCGCCACTACTCCTTCCATTACTTCAACATCTCGGCCAGATCAAGGGTCAACCTCAAATCCAACAGAGCAGTCGTCCACCTCAGCTCCACAACTGATCCCACCATCTCAACGCCGACGACGACGACGAACTGTTTTTGCTGTTAAGATGGGCCGCCAGAAAGCAGTTGTTATAGACCTCCTAGCCAGCATCCCTGCCGACGTTGACGTTCAACCAGCACAAACCCAGCCTCAACCAAAGCAAAAGCAAAAAAGACTCAAGAAGGCTCAGCGAAAGGTAACGGTGACTCAGATCGACGACATCAACGTCGGTGTTGCCTTTACTACAGCCTTGCTCCTCCCTAGGGATCTCGACCGCAATGCCGAGATGACTGAGTATGAAAACTTTGCCTTGATGCTGCAGCATTCTGCTAAAGTGAGCCCCTTTATTCGGTAATTTTTCTTTCTTTCTCTTTTTCTTAGAAAATTTTCTATTAACTTCTGTTCTATCCATTTTTCATCAGGCAATCCAGCACGCCCACACCTTCTCAATGCAATCTTTTGAGACAAGGAAGGCGTTGGCCGTCAAGACTAGGGAAGTTGCTAGTCTGCAGAAGGCCAGCAAAAGGGCCGAGGCAAAAATGAAGACTTTGGAAGATCAGGGCGAGGCTGTTATCAAAGCTAAGGATGACGCTGAAGAAAAAGCAGATGCCGCTGAGGCCATCAAGAAGGTTCTCGAGGCCGAAAAGAGAGAGGCTGAGGAAAAGATGACCCAGGCCCAGAAAGAACTTCAAGATGCCTTGGCCACAAAAGAGGTCGAAATCAAGGGCGCAGACGGAAAGGCATACGCTGAGAGGGTGGCCAATGTCACGGCAGACTACGAGCGTCAGGTGAAGCAGGCATGCAACAAGGGTTTCACCCTTGGTTGGATGACTTTACTGAAAAAGCTTGAAGTCCTCGAGGACTCCCCCCTCAGGAACACCGACGTCCTTGCCCTACCATTCCCTCCAACTCCAAGCCAATCTGACGATAATTCTGAGTATGAGGAGGAAGCTTTGGTGAAGAAGTTGAAGGAAGCTGCTGGGGCCAAGTCCCCTACTCAAAATGAGCAAGTCTTGGACTTGACTTAAGACGAGGAGGGTGAGGAGGTTCCCAAAGACGTTACTCCTGAGAAGGCAACGTTGGAAGCGTCTATAGCTGATAAGAGCCTTGAGCAAACCCTCCAAGAAATAGATGCTGAGCTTGCGGCTGAAAAGGCAGCCGACATGTCTTCTCAGCAGTTTTCCGAGCTCCAGACCCAACTTGCTAGTGGTGCTGAAGAATCTTAGTTTGATGTTCTTTTTCTTTTTTCTGTTCCTTGTACTTTTTCTTTCTCGAGAACAATGTAAGCACTTCATGTGGCCGATGTGCCTTCCTTTGAATATAAATACAATTTTCTCTCCTGAATGTTTATATCTTTGTCCTCCTTTTACTGTCTTGTATGATACTAGACTTAGAATAATTTTGCATGCTTTCAAGCATACACCTTATCTGTGTAATTTCCTCAGGGTAATCTACCTCTGTAAGTACAAAAGTACTTCTCTTAATGCAACCTTGGTTTTAACTTGTAAATTTTTTCACAAATTTCAACAAGTGTTCAGTTCAACTTCAACTTGTAAATTTTTCTCAAATTTCAACAAGTGTTAAGCATGATCTCGGTTTAATTTTTCACAAATTTCAACAAGTGTTAAACACGATCTCGGTTTAACTTCAACTTGTAAATTTTTCGCAAATTTCAACAAGTGTTAAACACGATCTCGGTCTAACTTCAACTTGTAAATTTTTTCACAAATTTCAACCAGTGTTAAACATAATCTCAGTTTAACTTCAACTTGTAAATTTTTTCACAAATTTCAACAAGTGTTAAATATGATCTCGGTCTAACTTCAACTTGTAAATTTTTCATAAATTTCAATAAGTGTTAAACATGATCTCGATTTAACTTCAACTTGTAAATGTTTTCACAAATTTCAACAAGTGTTAAACATGATTTCGGTCTAACTTCAACTTGTAAATTTTTTACAAATTTCAACAAGTGTTAGATTGATTTTAGCTTGTATATTCTATCTTTTCAGAAATCATTTTCCAACTCTTTGCCCCATAATGTGAACTGAAGTTTCACTTGGGTTTTCATTATACATGTATTCCAGAAACCTCGTCAAGTATCTTATCAATCACAAGTGTGAAAAATCAAGCTAAAACTTTATTCATTACTTCGGCAAATAATAAAAAACAAGAAAATCGAATGATCGAAAAATTTCAAATTGCAGGTATTCCAGGGCCTTGGCAACTCTTTGCCCCCGTTATCTTCAAGCCGATATGCCCCATTGCCTAACACCGAGATGATTCTATAGGGTCCCTCCCAATTCGGGCCAAGCTTGCCTTCTCTGGGATCCTTCTTGTTGCCAACGACTTTTCTCAAGACGAGGTCACTGATTTGAAACTCTCTTGGGTTGACTTTCTTATTATAAGCCCTGGCAAGCTGCTGCTGGTATACTGCCAGCTGAATTGCAGCTCTCTCCCTTCTTTCTTCTAGTAGATCCAGATCTCGGGCTAATAGTACATCATTAGTCTCGTTCTCTACTCCTTGAGTTCTGATTCCTGTGATGCCGACTTCTAGAGGAATGACTGCTTCTGTGCCATAAGCTATGGCAAATGGGGATTCCCCAGTTGATCTTCTCGGCGTAGTCCGATATGCCCAGAGTACACTTAGCAGTTTATCCACCCACTTTCCCTTTGCTACTTGCAGCCTCTTCTTAATCTCATCCAAGATGACTTTGTTGGATGCTTCTGCTTGTCCATTGCTTTGAGAAAAACTTGGGGTGGAAAAATAATTCTTGATTTTGAACTTTACACAGAAGCTCTTGATTAACTTACTGTCAAACTGTGTTCCATTGTCTGCAACTAGTGCTTGTGGGATCCCAAACCTGGTGATGATGTTCTTCCATATAAAGCTCTTCACATCCACGTCTCAAATCTTGGCAAGGGGTTCAGCTTCTATCCACTTGGTGAAGTAATCTGTTACTCCCAGCAGGTACTTCCTTTGCCCAGTTGCTTGGGGTAGTTCTCTAACGAGATCCATGCCCCATTGGGCAAACTGCCAAGGACTGGATAATGGGTTTAGGTCTACCAACAAGATCCATGCCCCATTGGGCGAACGGCCAAAGACTGGATACTGGGTTTAGGTCTGCTGCTGGTTGGTGTATCAGTGGTGCAAACCGTTGGCACTTTTCACATTTCTTAACATAGGCTTCTGCATCTTTCTGCATGTAGGGTCACCAATACCCTTGGGTAATGGCCCTATGGGCAAGTGATTTGCCCCCAACGTGGCTTCCACATATTCGTTCATGTATTTCGTACAGAAAATCTTCAACTTGTGAAGGGTGTATACATCTCAAAAGGGGTCCAGTGAAGGATCTTCTGTAGAGATGTCTCTCTGCTGTCAGACTGAATCTTGTCGATTTCAATCTGATCTTGTGTGCCTCTTTGTGATCATTTGGCAATTTTCCTTCTTTCAGGAATGTTGTTATTGCGTCTATGCAGCTTGGTCCTATGTCCACAGACATTGCTTCACGCTCTGTGGTCAGTGGTTTGATGCTCGGGCCCGACAAGTAGTCGACCATTATCGTCCTTGCCTTCCCAAGTTGTATTGCCCTAGCCAGGTTGGCCAGGGCATCAGCGTGACTGTTATCTTCTCGGCTAACTTGCTGTAGTTGGCCATTTTGAAACAAGGCCACCAATCTGCCTACTTCCTTTGCGTATGCCGACATACGTTCATCTCAGGTTGCGAACTCGCCTGTTGTCTGGTTGACTATGAGCTGAGAGTCACAAAAGACTATCACCTTATCTGCTTCTACTGCTACTGCCAATTTCAGTCCTGCAATCAGTGTTTCATACTCTGCTTCATTGTTTGAGGCTTTGAACCCCAAACGAATTGATTGTTCTAGTATCTGTCCATCTGGAGATACCAGTACTACTCCTGCCCCGCTTCTTGTCGGTTTGAACTCCCATCAACAAATAGTTGAAAGGAGTCGCCGATGTAAATGCTGCAGGGCCTGAGTTTTTCCTCTTTCCTTTGTTCTGTTGCCTTCGGCTGGGTTCCTCTTTGCTCGTTTGGACATTGTTCACCTCGGCTCAACGGAGCCCGATGTACGATGGTTCCTAGAGTGAATTCGGCCACAAAAGCGGCCAAGATTTGGCCTTTGATTGCTGTTTTGGGTCTGTATGCCTGGTCATACTGGCCCAAGGCCACTGCCCATCTGGCTATTCTGTCTGTCAGATCTCCCTGTTGCAACAGGGACTTCAAAGGATGTTCAGTTAGCACCACAATTTTGTGTGCTTGAAAGTAATGGTTTAGCTTCTTTGAAGCCATTACTAATGCCAGTGCCAACTTCTCTAGGGGTAAATGCCTGGTTTCTGCATCAGCCAGGGTTTTGCTTACATAGTAAACAACCCTTTGCTCCCATTTTTCTTCTCGGATTACCACTGTATTCGATAGTCATGTCGGGTAATTTATTTCTCGAATGGTTCTGGCCTCCGGAAGTCTGTCTACTTCCTCTTCCACTGTCTCAACATGTAGCAACGTCGGTCTTTGGATCACGGGTTTAGCCGACCTGTCCACGTTCAGTTTATGGTAAGTGACTTCGGGGTCAATGCCTGGCATTTCATAAGGCGTCCAGGCAAACACTTAAATGTTTGCCCTCAAGAACTCCTCCAGCTCTTTTTCCTCTTCTTCTGCTAAGCCCGAGCCGAGAAGGAAGAAGCGTTCCTCATCCTCTTGCTGGACAAGGATTTTCTTCAGGGCTTCTCCACTCTTTTCGGCTGGCTCTTTGCCGACATCCTCTAGGACCTCCACGTCCTCGTCTTCGATTTCTACTGTCTCTGGTTCTTGTATGCTGCAGGTGGATTTCATTGCTGCCATGGAGCAATTTTTTGCTTGCAGCTGATCCCCTCTGACCTCTTCTATCCCATGCTCTGTTGGGAATCGCAATAGCTGATGTAGTGTTGAGGGTACAGCCCCCATTGCATGCAGCCATGGTCTCCCCAATATAGCATTGTAAAGGGATGGTGTGTTGATTTTGGTGAATTCTATCTTCACCCTCTTGGTGCTAGCCTGCACCTCTAGGTTTGTTGCTCCCAGTGGCCATGTCGGTGTTCCATTGAACCCGACCATTGGGCCATTGGATTGTTCCATATCGTCTGGGTGAAGGCCAAGCTCCTTGTAACATCTGACATACATGATGTCACAAGAGCTGCCTTGGTTAATTAGGATGCCTTTTACTTGGCACTCCCCAACCTAGAGGGATATTACCAAGGCATCGCTGTGCGGATGTTGTACCATCTCCAAGTCGGCTTCAATGAAAGACACTATTGGTCCCTGGCACTCCTCAGCCTGAGGTTTTTTTTGCCAGACCTGGTACACATGCTGTAGGTGCTTTCCCTTCTGTGTCTCCCCCCGTATTTCGTTTTCATTGACCTTCGAGTGAATTACATTAACTACCCGAGGTCCGTCTACCTGCGGCTGCTGTGTTGGGGGAGGTGGAGTTGCTGGTGCCTGAGGCAGTCTTGCCCGCTCTTCTCTTGTCCTAGCCTCATCTACAAGGTCCCTCAAATGGCCCTGCCTTACCAGGTCTTCCAGGTGTGACTTTAGGGCTCTGCAACCTTGAGTCAAATGCCCATCTTCGTTATGGTAAGCACAATGCTTCCCAAGGCTTCTTCCTATAAACTCTCCTGGAACCCTTGTTGGTGCTCTGAAATAGGGTTGGGTTTGGATTTTTTCCAGGACTTTGTGAATTGGGATTCGGAACACAGTCGTGACTGCCTGTGCGGTTCTCAGTTCTATCTCTTGTTTGTTGGATTCGTTGTTACCTCGACGAGCCATTTGCTTTCTCCTGCTTTGTCGCCTTAATCCCTGGCGTGTCTTCTTTGGCTCTGGTGTATTTCTCAATTCTGGCCATGAACTCCTCCATGCTTTTTGGCAATGTCTTTGCCAATGACTTCGTAGTGCGTAATTATCTTTCTGGCCGTTCTTGAAAGACACAACCGCCACCTCTTGGTTGCATTCGGGTATTCGGTTGAACACTTCATAATACCTTTTTGCGTAGGCCCTAAGGCCTTCATCCTCACTGATTCTCAGAGCCATCAGGGCGTCCACCCTTAATGGCTATAGTTTGTTTGTTACGAACTTGGCCACGAACATCTCGGCCAGGCCTTCCTAGACCTTCACACTTTCCTTCGGCAATTTGTGAAACCAGTCCGATGCAATCTCCCCGAAGGATGAGGGGAACACCTTGCAGAGCAACGGCTCGTTCCCAGTGTACAGTGCCATTGAGTTTAGGTATAAACCGACGTGAAAGTTGGGATCCGACTTCCCATCGTATATCTAGAACCTCGGCATACTGAATCTTTTTGGTGCCTCAAATTTGTCCAACTCCACCGAGAATGGTGCTCTTGGTTTAACAGGGGAAGTTACCTCGGCATTTTGTTGTTTCCTCTTGAGATAATTTCTCAAGTCCTCCTTGGTTCGGCCAGGAGCTCGACTATCTCCTGATTTCAATCTTTTAGGTGCACTGCTCTTAGCTTCGTTGTGAGTCCTTTTCGACATTTCTCCATTAGTTGTGTCAAAGCACAACTCCTATCTTTGAACATGCCGATGTTCTCTAAGGTCTGCCTCTTTGGTGCGATGTGTCCTTCGAGATTCTTCCTTTCTCGACTCTCCTCGCCCGACCTCCCTTGACGGCTGATGAGAGTGTTTTTCGCTCCTGGCGTGCTGGGGGGCCACATGAATTGTTTTTTGCCCTCCCTTTTGGGCATTGGCCACTAGAATCGGCGTGTCTTGCAGTGGGAACGGTGGCTGCATGACGTTGTTTTGCATCATGAAATTGACGACCGATTGCAGGTCTGCCAATTTGTTCGCCATCCCCTTCATCTCTTCGTCCCTCTGTAGGCATCTGTCTTTCCATACCTAGAGGTTATTCTCGTTATAATACCCGCTTTGATCTATTTTCTTTGGTACGTCGCCTTCCTGGCCGACGTCTCTCCCTCCGTGTTTCTGGTCACGGGTTTCTTTGTTATAATTGTCTTCTTCGATGTCAAGGTCGATAGGTCTCCCACTCATAATAGGAGTGTTATCCCCAATCTTCTCTTTCTGTTCGTCGTTGGTCATCTATTCTCCTTTCTTTCCCACAGACGGCGCCAAATTGTGTGAGTGAATTTCCGACCACACTGCCAACTCAGTATTCAACTTGAGAGAACTGGCAGAATAGGATAAGTCCGAACGACCTGCAATAGAAAGAAGAGATTCTGGTGGTGGTTCGTCCACCCGGGGGCACTCCGATGATTAAGTCAATAATCAAATATCTCTTAAAGATAATCAATAGTGCTTAACTCACTGTTCTGAATATAAATTGCGTACCTTAAACCCATGGGGGTGTCTCTCTTTTATAGCCAATACAATCCTAGTCCCAATAGATGCCTAGCTTCAATAGACTTCTGCTCAGTGCTTATCTTGGACTCTCCAATAAATAAAGATAAACTCCCTAAGAGCTTTATCTTTATCCAGGCTGAAGGCCTTCCTCATTCTAGGATTCTTGTCCTTTATTCGTTTATCCCGGATTCCGATATCTTCGGAGATAACCTCGGCTTAGCCGAGATCACTTTGGTGTCACGACTAGGACACGTGGCATCTCGGCTGACACGTCGGCGTCACCTTGGCCACGTGTTGGTACTCAGAAAATATATCCCCACAACCATAGCAATATTTCACCATAAACCATGCAGAATCCTTACGTCCTATCAGGGAACACATGCGGTTCCAGCAGTGGATCTGCAATATCAGTGGCTGCAAATATGGTGTCTGTATCACTGGGTACTGAGACAGATGGCTCCATCATCTGCCCTGCTGATCACAACTCTGTTGTAGGGATCAAGCCCACAGTTGGTCTCACCAGCCGAGCGGGTGTTGTTACCATCTCACCCCGACAGGACACCATTGGGTAAGTACTCTATTCACTTAACTCTGCCAAAACCCTGTTCCAACTACATAGAATTTGAACCTCGCAAACATAAATCCTATTTCTACACATTGAGCAAGTTGGGCAGATATTGGGAGGTAAAAAAAAAAAACTTAGGTAGAGTTCATTAGGTGCAGATGATATAGCCTTTTTTATGATAGTAAGAGATGGCCATGTTCATGTGATTTGTAAAAGTCACACACTTTTATATACGAGTTCTTTGTCTGTTAAAAAGACATAATCAAGAGATTTATCACTCCTAGTTTTTCGTTTGAAGGCCTATATGTAGGACAGTATCAGATGCAGTTTTGCGTGCTTGATGCAATTGTGGGTTTTGATCCAAGAGATTTTGAAGCCACAAAAGAAGCAGCCAAGTTCATACCTGCAGGTGGTTATAAACAATTTCTCAACAAAGATGACCTCAAAGGAAAGAGATTGGGTGTGGTGAGGAATACGTTTTTGGCCCTTCTAAATAGGTCCAAAGCTGTTGCAACCTTTGAGCATCATCTATACACATTAAGGTAAAACTCTAGTCAAATATTTACGGAAGGTATTGGTTATATTTAGAATTATTGATGCCTTTTGAATGTTTATTTGGAATTTGAAGGCAAGGTAGTGCAACTATTGTGGACAATTTGGAGATAACAAATGTCAATGTCATTTTGGATCCCTATCAAAGCGGTGAAGTAATGGTTATGCTGGCCGAGTTCAAGCTGGCCAGAAATGATTATTTGAAAGGGCTAATTACCTCTCCAGTGTGGTCACTGTCTGATTTATTACATTCAACATGAATAACGCTGATCTGGTATGTAAGTGTCCACTTAATCATCTCACGCTGATCTGGTATGTAATTGTCCACAATCATCTTTGGTTAAAGAAAAAGTTTAGAGAAATGGTGTTAATTTATTGGCCAAGAAGGGCATCCTAGATTACTTTTTATACTGGTATAAATTGATATTGTAGTTCAAACTTTTTGTTCATGTTCCCTCTGTATTGAAATCTTGGGTCCGTTCTTGTTTATTATGAAGATAACGAATATGGAGTTGGTCTCCGTAGGAGAAAACCGAAATCTTTTATGCTTCAGAATTCACAAATGGACTCGGGGAGGAAGAGAGGATGGCAATAGAGGCTATGGAAAATCTGTCGCGAGATGGCATTGAGAAGCTAATGAAGGAGAACAAGTTGGATGCAATGGTGACACCAGGTTCGGGTGCCCCCTCTGTGCTGGCAATTGGAGGGTACCTAGCAATTTCTGTCCCGGCTGGGTATGACAGCGATGGAATGCCATTTGGGATCTGTTTCGGAGGCTTGAAGGGCACAGAATCGAAGCTGATTGAGATTGCTGATGGTTTTGAACAGGCCACCATGGTTAGGAGACCTCCTTTTTCCTTATCAATGGAATGGAATAAGGATGCTTACGTGTGACTTGTGATATGTTTGGTGTCATTGTATGAAACTGTTGGCAAATTTTCTTTAAATATGCAGAGGACATGACTCAGATGCATATCTTCTGCTTTGGCAACCAGCAAACCGACACATAATCGATAGTAGCAGAGTTTCAAGAGTATTAGCCCTCAATATTGTGCGTTTAGTCTCTTGTTATATTGTTAACAACTCTTTTTCTTCCATAGAATTGAACACAATCGGGATGATACCTACATGCTTGGTGGTGTACCCCATGCGAGAAGATTGCCTTCGGTTTTGTTGTCGTTCCATTTTGTGCACTCAAAAATTTTCTATTGTTAATTGCAAAAGGAAGAAATAGACACCTACTACAAAATTTGAAAATTGAGGACTAAAAGACCATTTAAACTGAGAAATTTTTTTTTTTTGGAGTTTCTGGAATTTACTTTATAAAATTAGAAGATTAGGGACAAAAGTTAGAATTAAATAAAAAATTATATGGTAGTCTTGAAATAAGTATACATGATACTTCAACTTATTATTTATTAATTAAAAGTGCGGTATTCAATACTTTTTGTTAAAATTTTAAAAGTTAATTTGAAAGTGTCAAGAGTATCTCTTGAATCAAAAGTTTTATCAAATTTAAGTAAAAATTTATTAAAAAGTTTGATTTGATATCATATATTCCAATGTTAAAACTAAATTTTTTTTTAGATTTATAAATTTGATTGTCCGACTAGCCAATATGAATTGAATAAGAAATTGTGAAACTTATTTCTCTCCATTCGGTTGACACACAGGTTGTCAGGCAGATATCTTCATGGTCGTATGATATCTTGGTAAGTAATGATTATTTCTAGAAATTTGATGAATAATGAAAGTTTCAAATTTTTTGTCATACTTAGAGCTAAAATGTTAGCGTTTTAACAATGAAAGCTTCAATTTTTTTTTATCATAGTTAGAACTGAAATGTTAACATTTTTCATCAAATTTAAATTTAATAAAAAATTAGATGCAAGGCTAGAGATAATCTAATTGATTTGAAAAACTACATAAACAACATGTGAAAAATAATATTGAATAATTACAGGCAGTTTTGCGACAACATTTTATATATATGTAAAAATATTTCCAATGAGGAAGTCATGGTGATCTACGATCCAGCTTCCTCAGTCTTACCCAAAACATTCATCTCTCTATTGATTATCACCGGTTTAGTCCTCACCATGAACGGCCAGGAGTTCACGATTGAAGAAGCAACAATTCGAGAAATCCAGCAAGCATTTGCAGACAACAAGCTCACATCAAGACAGCTCGTTGACTTCTACCTGAACCGAATCCAGGAGCTGAATCCGGTGCTTCGCGGCGTAGTGGAAGTGAACCCGGACGCTCGAGATCTAGCGGACGAGGCAGACCGAGAGAAGCAGAGCAATGGTGGATCACTGGGAGATCTGCACGGCATACCATTGCTGGTGAAGGACACGATTGGTACGAAAGACAAGATGAACACGACGGCTGGTTCGTACGCGCTGATCGGATCGGAGGTGGCTCGAGATGCAGGGGTTGTAGAGAGGCTGAGGAAGGCTGGTGCGGTGATATTGGGGAAAGCTAGTTTGAGCGAGTGGTATCGTATTCGTTCTATCAATGGTGTTCCTAATGGCTGGTGTGCTCGATCTGGACAAGGAGTGGTAATTAGCTCTTTCTCCTCTCTCTAAATTCTGAATGATGAATGATCTTACTTCATGTATTAATGGAGTTTAAGCAGTTTAGTTGAGTTGAGTTGATTAATAGTTGGATGTTTAAATTTGATTTTGAAATTTTAACCAGATTTGAAAATATGTTTAATCTCAATTTGTTTATTTTCAAGGTGATGTAACTCTAATAAAATTAATCACGAGCGGAACTTTGTAGTTTGAGCTAAGAAATTAACAAGTTTTAAAATATGTGTAAGTTTAACTTATTTACATAATAAATTGATTTTAATTGAACTTTTAATTAGTTAAACACGAGTCGAGCTTGCATAACTTTGTACTTTATATTGCCCTACTTATCCCAAAGTTGGCCTCTTTTCACTTGTTACATGTGGATTTGAATTTGTAGGTTCTAGTAGACATATGCGTGTTAGTTTCTACCACGAATCTTCTGTTACAGAATTCATGTATCTTTGTACCAATTGTACTTCCAAATCAAAATTATGAGGAGATATTCAAAACACGAAATATAGAGTTTTGATCTTGCAGTTGGAATGCATTGCATTGAGACAAGAGATGACGATTTTTGTGACACCGTTACTTTCCATATACTAAAATTATGGTGACAGGTTAGACTATGACAGTCATGTAGAATAATTTCTGCAGTTGAAGTCTTTTAACAGATTTAAAAGGGTTGATAATGTCACGATTAATGATCGGTTAGCTTACTGTGCATTTGTTTCGGAGGATTGAGGGTTTTGAATCTAAACTCAAATGTATTCTTCAATGATTTACCAGAAATGGTCTTGGTGAAACAACCGTAAAGCATTGTTTCGATCTTCTATGTGCAATTTCCCATTCAGTAATTTAATTACTCGAGCAGCTCATATGTTCAATTTAATTACTTGAGTAAATTAATTGGATATCTCATATGTGCAATTTAATTACTTGAGTCGAGCTTCTATGCATAACAAAATTAATTTGGTTGTCTGAAATATCTGATTTGAATGTGCAGAATCCTTACATAACATCAGGGTCCCCTTGCGGGTCAAGCAGTGGATCTGCAATATCAGTAGCTGCTAACATGGTGGCAGTCTCATTAGGGACAGAGACCCACAGCTCCATTATTTGCCCATCAGATCACAACTCGGTTGTTGGACTCAAACCCACTATTGGGCTTACCAGTCGAGCAGGAGTCATTCCTTGTGCACCCCGTTGGGACACCATTGGGTAAACATACACTTCACAAATCACAAGCCCAATGTGAAATAGATTTGATTGGGTGAAATGAAAGTGAAATTCCCAGCTCTAGTCTGAACTGATGAATGTTCATGATGGCAATATTTATTACAGGCCCATATGCAGGACTGTAGAAGATGCTGTTTATGTGCTTGATGTGATAGCAGGGTTTGATCCAAGGGATGATGAAGCAACAAGAGAAGGATCCCAGTTCATTCCCGAGGGTGGTTATAAACAGTTTCTCAAGAATGAAGGTCTGAAAGGAAAGAGACTGGGTGTTGTCAGAAGTCCATTTGTGGATAAGCTTCATGATTCAGCCATAGCTGCATCTTTTGAGGATCATCTCAGTACATTGAGGTATTATACTAGTAAGAATTATTATCTCTCTCTCATATTTTGCCACTCTACAAACAATTCAAGAATGGACAACTAAAGTTAAGAGGGATAGATAATATAAATGACCATGCATAACATTTCATACCGATTGGGCTCAATTTACTTCCCATGCATGGCTAATTTTTAAGATGTGAAAAAACAGTACAGAAACAAGGGGTGCCTGTGTACACGAGTGTTATAGTTTATGTACCTGAAATTTCATCGTAACTGTACTGATATCATGTGATTGCCCTCTTGGAAATTCAAGAAAAAGAGGTGCGATTGTAGTGGACAATCTGCACATAGCAAATATTGATGAAATTCTAGATCCCCATCGAAGTGGGGAACTAATGGTGATGGCGACTGATTTCAAGATCTCCGTAAATGCTTACTTGAAAGAGCTGATCACTTCGCCCGTGAGGTCACTGACAGACATTATTACCTTCAACCAGAATAATCCTGAACTGGTAAGTATTGGATTCTCTAATGAATATTGTTTAACTCTTCCTATATTACAGTGATTCATATTCTTTGGCAGACGAACTTGAATTTTATCCTTAGGTGGGATGTCATTTCCGGTAGACATGTCTTGATCTCTTTAATTGGGAGTTAGAATTCATTACAAATCTTGGATAGTTTATTTTCTTTTCTCTCTCCTTACAATCTCTCCTACCAAACATAGAATTAAGGATTCTGTTTCAAAGCCATTAACTTTTATGCTTGTTTTCATTGCTAATATATATGATGAAAATAACAAAATTAGTCCTCGTACATTACAGGAAAAACTAGCAGAGTATGGTCAACAAACTTTCATTGAAGCTGAAGAGTCAACAGGGATTGGTGAGAAAGAGATCCAAGTATTGGAGAATTTAGAAAAACTTTCAAAAGAGGGGTTTGAAAAACTGATGAAAGAGAATGACTTAGATGCGTTGGTGACACCGGGTTCACGTGCTTCCCCCATTCTGGCAATTGGAGGGTACCCTGCTATTACTGTCCCGGCAGGGTATGACAGTGATGGAATGCCATTTGGCATCTGTTTTGGAGGGTTGAGAGGCACAGAACCGAAGCTGGTTGAAATTGCTTATGGCTTCGAACAAGCCACCAAGGTTCGGAGGCCTCCTTGTTTCTCCACGTCAGAATTAAGTGAGAAAGCATCTGTCTAAATTTTGACATTCAAGGCCTTGCTTTATGAATTTGCCTATGGATCTTCTGAGGGAAATCTGTGCATCTCTGTTGTTTCATTGAGAAACATGAGTTGGACAGGCTTGGACCAAATGATCTAACACTAAAGAATTGGTGATTTCAAGGAAAGTGCAATATTACACTAAGAGCATCCCAACCAAAGCCCCTAAACCCTTTCCTTACCTATTTTAAGGGTAAATGGCTCCCTATCCACCTGCATCAAATCTCCTAAATAATTCCCTAAATTAGTTTTTGCTACCGTGACTCCCTATTTGTAGGGAGTCACTGTAGCTCCCTTATATATATATATATATATATATATTTTTTTTGTTGTTTTGTTTAAGGACTGCAATACACACACGGGGGTGCCTCTCTTTTATAATTTACTAAATCCAAGTCCCACTAGAAGTCTGACTTCTATGGACTCCAATTCAATGTCAACTTTGGACTCTTCAAAAGATAAAGATAAAGATAAACTCCCTAAGAGCTTTATCCTTATCTTAGCAAAGTCTTCTCTTTACTCTAGGACTCTTGTCCCTTATCCGCTTATCTCGGATTCTGATATCTTCGGAGATCACCTCGGCCTTGCCTAGGTAACCTCGGCATAACTACCACGACACGTGGCACCTCGGCTGACACGTGTTAGTATTCAGAAAATACATCCCCACACTAATGATGCATTGTTAAAATGGTTAGCTTAAAGTCAAATTTTATTAGTAATTTTATACCCCCAAAAAAGTGCAAATAAAATTGTATTAGTGATTTTTGTTGTTTTGTTTTTGTCTTTTTTTTCTTAATTTTAAGTTCATAATGCTAGTTTTGAAGGAATTGGGTTGACAACATATTACTTCATTGAGAAAAGCTTTCAAAGCTTCCGCTTCAAAACATGTGTGAACAATACACAAAATATGAATTTTACATTCAAAAAGTATATTGATCTCACTCAAAATGATCAGTCATATTATTTTACACTAATAAAAAAATATATTATTTATTCACAATAAGAATGTGTGAATAAAAAGAGACTTATTGGGCCTCCCAAAACAGGCTCCTAAAGTGACAATTTGCAATCACCAACAATGCTATAGATCACTAAATTTCTACTACTAACACCACCACTAATGGTGTGACAAGTAAAAAATAAATAAATAAATAAAAATTAAAACACAAAACACATGTGACAGTGGATCTTTAGTGCAACCACTAATTAGTGGTCTGCATCATTTTTCTTACAATCACTCATTCCAATCACTTAAAAAAAAAAGACAATTCCTTAGTGATTTCATTTATGCAGGTGACTTGTAAGAACATTAGCATACTTCTTAAAAACACAATTTCAAATTTTCAATGATGATTTCGGCAACTAAAAAGGGCAAATAGGCCTCTTTTGGGAACAAAATAAAAAATTATTATTTTTTAATCTTTAATTTATTTTGAATCATATTATCTCCCTATCTTTTTACACATATTTTTTTTTTAAAAAAATTGAAAATTAGATTTTAACTAATTTTCCAAAATAATCATTTTTCTTGATTTAGACAACACAGATAAAGTTGAATTACGGACAAGCATGCGCTACTGTGTCCACCATTCTGGGGGCAAAAACTTTCTTTTTCTGGGTGCCAAAAATCAAAAGCAATAAGGGCATCTACAATGGGATAGCTAAAATTATTTATTAAAGTGTGTTATATGACAAAAAATGATAAAAGTGAGGCTCAAAAATATTTGTTAAGATGTGTTAAGAGTTTATTAATTTTAAAGAGTGAGTTGTGGTGCAATAGATGTATTAAGGGGTGTGTTAAATATATATATATATATATATATGTATATAATAAATAAAATAAAAAAATAATTTAGTTTAATAAAAAATTTCCAGTCCAAAATTAAATTTCAAGTCTAAAAAAAAAAAAAATCCCAAAAAGTAATAAAAAAAAAATTTGCCGTTGACTGGTCAACTGTAAGACAAAAAAAACGCTTCCCTTCCATCGCTAGAACACTCGCTGCAGATAACAAAGAACTTAGCAACTGACTCTAATAGACACTCCTAACACACACGTTAACAAGCTCACTGCAGCACCAAACAATATCCTTAGCTAACCAAAAGTTGACAACTGACACTAACACACAACTTAGTATGTCCATTGTGGATGCACAACAACAAAAGATTAACAATGGGTCATGTCATGGTGGATAATATGCCCTTCCACTTTCCCAAAAAAACAAACTTGTGTAAATTTTATTATGATTAATGTTACTGTTCCAGAAAATCAAAATTCAGATTTTTTGGGTATTATGTTTGTATGGCTGTGAGTAAAGGATTCGGGGTGCCTGCTGTGCACCCATGCACAGCAGGCACGGCTGTGCCTCTGATAGCCTCTGATTTGGAATGAGTTATATATAGCTTAGTGATATTATGCTGAAATATGGCTGCTGAAATGTTGAAATATGGCCTGCTGTGCATGGGTGCACAGCAGGCACCCCAAATCCGTGAGTAAATTGGTGTTGCAACCCCTAGGGTTTGGCGTGGTGGATAATATTTGAGAGATGGGGGTTTACTTCTTTCAAGGTCTTCGGTATGGATTTCTTTATCAGTAAAACTCTTTGGGCTTTGGGCCACGAATTATAGGGAATAAGCCAAAAAAATTCAGAGTAAAAAATTCAGAGTAAAATTTCTAAAATTGTAGAACATCCTTTGCACAATGGTCCTGTTTGGTGTAACTGTTAAAACAGATTATAGATTATAACTTAATAGATTATAGATTATGACTTTAATCAGAAGTTGTTAATCTGTTTAGTATAATTGTTAGATTATAGATTTAAGTTGCTGAGTAGTGTTTATTAAATAAGCTGTGAAGTAACTTTTTCAATTAACTTTTATTTTTTATTATTTACTTTTGTCCACATTTCTCATAAAAAATAATACTCCCTCCGTCCCAAAATAATAGTCCCTTTTGGGGAATCCAACTTTTTTTGGTAGTACAATTATTGTACTTTAAAAAAGTTAATTTTCCAAAATTACCCTTTGATAGTACATTTTTTTGGGAATATCAATGTCATAATTGTACTTTTTATATTATTTATGAATTTAAAAGAAGGGCAAAATAGAAAATTTATATTATTTTTGTACTTGATTTTTGAAGAGGGACTAATATTTTAGGACAATGAAAAATGGAATAAGGGACTAATATTATGGGACGGAGGGAGTAATAATATTTATAGTTCATTTGGGTCTTTTTCTATTTTTAAAAAAATAAAAAATAAAAAAATAAAAGTATTCAATGCAAGATTCATGTTTTGTTTGTCTTTTTTTTCTTAATTTTAAGTTCATAATGCTAGTTTTGAAGGATTTGGGTTGACATCGGCCCTGTTTGGTAGAGCTGTGGAAAAGTGCTTATAGCTTATGCTTAAACAGCTTATAGCTTATAATTATGAACATAAACTGATTTCTAACTTATAAATTAAGCATCTCCTGCCCCACTCAAAAAATAAGTTGATTTCTGACTTGCAAAAAGCTATAAGTTATAAGTTATAAGCTAAACCATACACATCAAAATATCTTAAATTAAACTAAAAATTTAAATAAGTAACTTTTAAACTGCACCAAACAGACACATCATATTACTTCATTGAGAAAAGCTTTCAAAGCTTCCGCTTCAAAAACATGTGTATGAATTTTATATTCAAAAAATATATTGATCTCATTCAAAATGATAAGTCGTGTTATTTTACACTAATAAAAAAATATGTTATTTATTTACAATAAGAATGCGTGAATAAAAGCAGACTTATTGGGCCTCCCAAAACAGGCTCCTAAAGTGACAATTTGCAATCACTCATTCTAACCACTTAAAAAAAAGACAATTCCTTAATGATTTCATTTCTGGAGGTGACTTGTAAGTACATTAGCATACTTTTTGAAAACACAACTTCAAATTCAACCATGCTAAATATTTCCATTGGGATCGACCCTCAGTGAAGTGACGGGGACCCCCAGTGACATGGCGGATCCCTATTCGCTGGAAAAAAAAAAAAATTTTTTTTGGCCAATGGAAGTGCAATACACACGACTTCCAATGACCCCCAATGGAGTCTGAGGCATTTTTGTTTCAAATTTTCAATGATGATTCCAACAACTAAAAAGGGCAAATAGGCCTTTTTGGAAACAAAATAAAAAATTATTATTTTTTTAATTTTAATTTATTTTAAATCATGTTATGATCTCTCTATGATTTTACATATATTTTATAAAAAAATAAAAAAATTTAAAAATTAAATTTTAACCAACTTTTCAAAATAATCATTTTTCTTGATTTAGAGAACACAGATAAAAGTGGAATTAGGGACAAGCATGCGTTACTGTGTCCACCATTCGGGAGCAAAAATTATCTTTTTCTGAGTGCCAAAAATCAAAAGCAATAACAACAAAAGATTAACAATGGGTCATGTCATGGTGCATAATATGCCCTTCCACTTTCCCAAAAAAAAAAACTTGTGTAAATTTTATTATGATTAATGTTAATGTTCCAGAAAATCAAAATTTAGATTTTTTGGATATTATGTTTGTATGGCTATGAGGAAATTGGTGTTGCAACCCCTAGGGTTTGGCGTGGTGGATAATATTTGAGAGATGGGGGTTTACTTCTTTCAAGGGCTTCGGTATGAATTTCTTTAACAGTAAAACTCTTTGAGCCACGAACCGCAGGGAATAAGTCGAAAAAATTCATAGTAAAATTTTTGAAATTGTAGAACATCCTTTGCACAATGGTCCTGTTTGGTGTAACTGTTAAAACAAATTTTAAATTATAGATTATGACTTTAATCAGAAGTTGTTAATCTGTTTGGTATAACTGTTGGATTATATATTTAGATTGCTGAGTAGCGTTTGTTAAATAAGCTGTGAAGTAACTTTTTCAATTAACTTTTATTTTTTATTATTCACTATTTGTCTACATTTCTCATAAAAAATAATAATAATATTTTATAGTCCACTTGGGTATTTTTCTATTTTTAAAAAAAATCTAAGAGTATAACCGTGAATTAACATGTCCACAGCAAAATCTGATAATCAGAAATAAGGGGTGAGCAGCTTCTCAGAGTTAGTTTTTTTTTAACTTAAAATAAGTTGATAG